TCTGCCTGCAATGTGGGAGACCTGGGTTCCATCCTGGGTTGGGAAGATCCCCTGGAGAAGGGAAGGACTGCCCACTCCGGTATTCTGGCCTAGAGAATTCCACGGATTGTATACTCCATGGGGTTGCAAAGAGTCAGACACAACTGAGCAACTTTCACTTTGTAGGTGTAGGCCTAAGTAATCTTTAGTGCAGTGTGTTCACTGAAAACACGTTTATGAAGTACTTCTATGTGATAAGCATTATGCTAGTTCAGAGATGAAAGACATATGCTTTAGAAGCCTAGTGCAGTGGTTCTCAAAGTATAGTCTGCGAAACCCTGGTGGGCCCTAAGACCCCTTCAGGTCAAAACTATTTTCTATAATACAAAGGCCTTTAAAAAGAATATTCACTGTGCTGACATTTGCACTGATGCTACAAAAGCAGTGGCAATGAGTTTAAATTGGGGAACTAGTACCAAACTATACTAGTAGTCACTGTATTTTTCGCCAACACAGTTTTAAAAAATAATCTAAATGTTTAAGTGTTCTTGATCAACAGTAAACAAGTATAAATTTTATTAAATCTCATTTCTTGAATACTAATTTTTAAATATTCTGTTTGCTGAAATGGAAATTATGAGTAAGACACTACTGCTGTATATTGAAATAAGATGATTATCTAGAGGAAGACCACTCCAGTGATTAACTAAATTATAAACTGAATTGTTTTTTTAAAAAAAATGAAACATCTTTACTTGTACGTGTAAACTGTTGACAAGCTGTTATTCAGACTTGAATATTTAGCAGATATTTTCTCTAAAATGAGCAAAGTGAGCCTATCACTTCAAGGAAAACCGTTATGTGTTGCCAATCATAAAATTCAGGCTTTAAATAAAAATTGGATTCTGGAAAACTTGTATTCATCAGTGTGAATTTGATGGCTTCCTAATACTTAAATAGTTTTCTGATGATATTGATGGTAATATTAACAAATGTTGCTTTTTGATATTGTTTAATGAAATATGTCCACTGCATCGCTTGTTAATACGTTTGAAATGATCGATACATAATGTTACAAAATCATGTGTAAGTAGAAGATTGGTTCAAAGTGCAAGGCAGATCAAAACATGTTTTTCCAATAAAGTTTGAAAGTATGAGAAGTTCATTGATGTTCAAATTCCACATTTCAACTAATCTTTAGGAAACTACTAGCTGTCAAATTTAGTATACTATCAAAGGAGAATATCTGAAAAGTATATTAAAATATCATTTTCCAGTTGCCTATCTGTTTGACACTGATTTTCATGTATGTTAGTCAAAACAGCATAGTGCCACAGATGGAATATCACAGCAGGTCGAAGAATCCAATTGTCTTCTACTAATCCAAACATCAAAGACATTTGCAAAAATGTAAAACATTTTTGTGCCTCTTTTTCTCACTAATTTTTGTTTCTGAAAATATAGTTCTTTTAAATAAAAATATTTTGGTTAATATATAATGGATTTATATATATTATTTTTAAATGAATTGACAAATATTTTTATTAAGATGAAATAAACATGGAGTTTGCCATTTTAACCATTTTTAAGTGTACAGTTCAGTGACATTAAGTACACTCATATTTTTATGCAACCATTATCACCACCTCCAGAACTTTTTCATCATCCCACACTGAAACCCTGTACTCGTTAAACACTAACTTCCATTGCTCCTTCCTCACAGTCCCTGGCTGTTAACCATTCCACTTTCTGTCTCTATGAATTTGACTATTCTAGTACCTCATATAAGTAGCATCATACAGCATTTGTCTTTTTGTGACTGGCTTATTTTGCTTAGCATAATGTCCTCAAGGTGTGTTCATGTTGTAGATGTGCCAGAATTGTCTTTTTTTTTAAGGCTGAATAGTATTCCATTGTGTATACATACAACATTTTCTTTATCCATTCATTTATCTTTGACCCTTGGGTTGCATCCACATTTTAACTGTTATAAATAATGCTGCTATAAGCATGAGTGTACAAGTAGCTGTTAACGTCCCTGTTTTCAGTTCTTTTGAGTATGTATGCAGAATTGGAATTGCTGGACCATATGGAAATTCAATTTTTTATTTTTTGAGGAATTAATTTCTAGTACTATAAATATCAGTAGATATAATCCACATAAACAGAAGTACTCTTGGGTCTTTAGTGATTTTTAAGAGTGAGGGTCCTGAGACTTAAAAGTTTGAGAATAAGTGGTGTAGTGGAATGAGTGAAATAGAGAGGTAAGTTAGGAAGTTACTACAGTAGAAGACAAGTTGGACTAGACTTTGCTTAGAGAAAATGACCAGAGTGGTAAGGAGAATATGTCATATGAAGAGAACTTGGAGAACCTGAAAATGTATGTGACCTTGAGAACTTTCTGGGAAGATAACAATAGCTAACTTTGAGTATTTGAAGATCTCTCACAGAAAAGGGATTTGGCGTATTTTCTGTGAACTTGGGGTAAGATGGAGCAGAGGGGAAGACATAATAGTAGCAGATGTTAGGGGAATCAGTTTTAGCTCATAATAATAAGGATTTTCTAACAGAATAGTTCCAAGGTAGAATTGACTAAATGTAGGGAAAGCTAGCATAGAGTTTCAAACTGAGAGTTTCTAGGCTAAAAAAGCTCCTTGGAGAGGAGATGTGAATCTGTCATTAAATGGTTAGTTGGCCTAGAAGAACTCTCTAATCCCTTCTGATGCTGAAGTTCCATGATTCAGATTAACATGTTCCTCTGTCGTTTGTATGACTTGTAAGTTGACGGTTGGATTCAGGGGTTTTGATCAGACTCAGGTGCCATCTCAGTGACCACAACTATTGGCACTGGCATCCGCTTTCATTGAGAAGCACATAATGGCTGGCTGTTTTTTGCAAAGTTAGTAGCTGTTTCTCCTTAATGCCTAGAATTGATTAGGAGTTGCAAAATGATGGTATTCTAATTATATCATACCTGTTTTAGTTATTTTAGCTGGAATATTTTTGTAAAGAGACATTTCTCCGTATCTGTTATTTGGTTACCAAATGATATAGTTTCTTTAGGGCTTCCCTGGTGGCTCAGTGATAAAGAATTCCCCTGCCAGTGCAGGAGTCACGAGTTTGATCCCTGGGTAGGGAAGATCCTCCATAGAAGGAAATGGCAATCTACTCCAGTGTTCTTGCCTGGGAAGTTCCATGGACAGAGAAGCCTAGCAGGGTACAGTCCATGGGGTCGCAGAAGAGTCAGACACAACTTAGTGACTAAACGATAGTTCCCGTAGGAAAGTCAGGCTAGATAGATGCCTTTTCACTTATTTATCAGTTTTCAAGGTAGTAAGTTGGTTCCTTGTATCTTCAGTTTTCATTACTCTATCAAGTTTTTCTTCTTCGAAAGGGAGACAAGGAGACTTGTCTGGTCAGTTTCAAGTATTCATAGGTGTGAGGCTGCTCTGGTGTCTTCAGACCTCATCTGCTATCTTGGATGAGAGAACAACCCTTCCACTGTCAGCTCCTGTTCTAAAATTGGCTCTTCATATGTTCCAGTGAATACTTGCTGGCAATTTTGGGGTCTTCCTCTTTTCATATTCATCAGCAGCCCCTCTGCTCTTTCCTTTTATAGTTGTTCCATACAAGTCTTGTGGTTGTTGGTTTGTCCCTCACTGCTTATATTTTAGGTTTGTGGGGAATACCTTATTACCAAGTTTGGTTGTGAGAGTTTTCCATGGGATTTTGGTTTTGTTGTCTAGTTGCTTGGTTTCAATGTGGAGATCATGGAGATTAAGGCAAAAAAAAAAATCTCCTTACTGCCAATGTCATCTTCCCAGAGAGAGGTTAAAATCCTGGAAGAATTAGGGTAGAATTGAGAATAACTGAAATTTCTGACTTGGTGAATAGTAATTTTCATGGATGAGGATTAAAAATAGGAGAGAAGGAGAAAGGTAGTGAGTGGAATATAAGATCAGTTTTTGATTTCTTAGATTAGAAATATTTGTGAGACACCCTAAGAGAGATGCTTTCTTAAGAAATATGTCTGTAGAATTTGATAGAGAGAGCTAGGTGATGAAAGATCAACACTTCAAAGGTAATTGAGGCCATTATAAGTTGGAGAAATTATTATTTTGGTAAAAATTACAGTGTGAAAAACCAGTAGAATAGAAAGCATTCAACTGAAGATGAAAGAGACACTAATAAGCATTTGTGAGTGAGTGGTTTTATGTATTTTCCATAAAAATGTACAACAAATACAGGTTTACAGAGCAGCAATCCAAAGGGGATGACACTCTTCAAAGCTCCAGTTTATATGGATGCATCACGGTTTTTGGCTATTTGGTGTATGTAGATGGCATATGTATTAAGTATAAAGAGAATGAATTTATAACGTATTTTTTCTATTAGAAAAATAGATGTTAAATATTCATAAAAATGAAAGTCTTAGATGATGTTAACTGCTCATTAGCTACAAGGTTTAATACTTTAAGTAGATTCTAGTGTCCTATCACAGATCTTCTGCTTTAAGAGTTTATGAAAGTGTTCTGTCTTAGGAGCTGTTTCCGATGCTCAGGTGCTCTGATCTCAGAGGGGGTGTTTTAAATGTTAGTATGCATGTTGGGGGCTTCCCTGGTGGCTTAGATGGTAAGCATCTGTCTGCAGTATTGGAGACTCGGGTTCAATCCCTGGGATGGGAATTTTTAAATGGTAGTATGCTTGTTGGGGGCTTCTCTGGTGGCTTAGATGGTAAGCATCTGTCTGCAGTATTGGAGACTCGGGTTCAGTCCCTGGGATGGGAAGATCCCCTGGAAAAGGAAATAGCAACCCACTCCAGTATTCTTCCTTGGAGAATCCTATGGAGCCTGGTGAGCTACAGTCATGGGGTCTCAAAGAGTTGGACAGAACTGAGCAACTAACACACACACACATGCACGCACATTTGGACATTCCTTTTTAAACATCTCGTTAGCATTAAGTATCACCCCAAATGACTACTTTTGACCTGTCTTTTCGTTTCTTCTTTCTAAAATCAGGCCAGTCTTCAGAGACCTGAGATTAAACTTGAATCACTAAAAGAAGATATTAAGGAATTCTTTAAAATATCAGGTTTGTAAGTTGCTTTTTCTTTTTCTTTAATTCTTTAAAGCAAAATAAGGAAAGACTTTATTTTGAGGGGATATTGTATCTGCAGTCAATTACTTGTTTAAAATCGTGAAAGAGTGGTAGGATAGTTTTTTTAGTTGAAGTGAATTAGAACTTTCAGACATTTCTGCAGAAATTCAGGAACACAGGTAATAACTACTTTACATTGATCAGTTTTAAATAGTGTTTACCTTCCTAGTCAAAATACATCCTGAATGTATTAAAATCTCCTTAGTTAAGTACCTTGTCTTTTACTTTTCATCTGTGACTTTTTTTCCTTCTTTGCTTCTTTTCTCTCTTTTCTACCCTTCAAAGAAAACAGAAGAAAATTTCAGCTTTTTTAGAGCAAGCTGTTAAGAAGCCTTTGCACTTGGGAGCTGAGATATTAAGTGGTTTACTTAGCCAGATAAGTTGATCAAAAATAATAGTTAGTAGCCAAGTGAACTGACCTGACTGGTGGTGCCTTATAATAGTCTGCTTCTCTTGTTTAGGAATTTACTGACCAGGTTATTGTCACGAATTACTTGTGATCTTTGTCAGGTGCCTGGCTGTTTCTCGCCCTTCCATATGCATATTCCTCATAACACTGACAGTACAGCTGCCAAAGATTTTGGCATTTGTTGAGTGCCTTAACAGTGGAAGAAGGAAATAGTCTTCTCATCTTCAGAAAATGGCGCCATAGTTTAACTTACAAAGTAATAAATCATGTTGATGACTTTGTATTTAGTGTTAGCCAAGGGAATATTGGTAAATATATAAGAAATAATTCCTTAGAATAACACTTTACATTAGCAATTGGCAGTTGGTAAGGTTCTTTTGCAGTAAATATGATGTTAAAGTTTTTGTGAGATAAATTTAATTTTAATGTATGTTTACTTTAAAAACTAATATGTTTGTATATGTTTTCCTTTTTTTAAAATAGGTTTGGAGAAAAAACTTCAGAATGCTGTGTATAGTGAACTGAGTGTGTGAGTTTTTCCTCCCTATTTTGAGATACTCAATTACATTTAGCTATATTTGCTTTGTAAGTAATGAATATAGTTTTACTATATGTACTTATTGTTATTATTTCTTGTTAGCATTTATATAGTATTTCAAATGAGTTTATACTATTAAAAATTGTAGTCTTCCTGAGAATTAATACATGGGGGTTTTTACCAATAAAATTTTTATATTAACAATTCATTAATCCAGTGTATTTAGGGAATATGATATTTCTCATATTAGTATTTCAGATAATTTAAGCTTACCAGTGTTCTCTTTATTATTGCCATATTGGACATTATCCTTTTTCTGTCTTTATATACTGACCATTCTAAACATAGCTAACTCTTTTTTGAAATATTCATTATTAAGAATATTACTATTTTTATTTATCTGAATTTGTTCTCAGAGTTTGCTGAAGTGTGTAGAACTATTTGTCATTACGAGAAATATAGATCCCAAATGTTAACCTTTGTAGTTTATTTAATGCTCCATTATTCATCAATTATCTATTGCTAGCACTATAGATAGTAGGCACTGGGGATATAGCACAGAACTGTGAACACAGTTTCTGCCCTCATGAGGTTTATGATCTAATTGAGTTCTTAAGTCTTTTCCCTGCTATCAGTGTATCTATGTCTGTAGCCTCTCTAGTTTCTCACACTCCTGTTTCCAGTTTGCTCCTTCTAATCTGCTGTTACTTGGAAAAGGAGATAACCTGGTTTACCAGGATTGTTTCTAAAACAAAGGGATGAATGCTTGTGGATTTGTGCTTAGACACACGTTTTTAAAATTAGTTATTTGCTTCTTTGCTTATTGCTGAGTTGGTTTTCTTAAACTCATATATAAAGTGCTATCTATTAAGTAAAGCTGATTATGATCATACCTTTGGTTCTAGTCACTAAAGGAAAAGGTATTTATCATGACAAGTAAGGTTTTAAAGTTCCCCAAATGTAGTAGAGATACCATGAGTTGATTAAACTAATATGGACATGGTGATTTACCTCTGTCTATTAAAGCTTGTAACTTCAGTGTCATTGTCTCTGATACTGGCAGAATAATAGCATCTGTTGTGTATAATTCCAGATATGAGACTCTCATCTCAGTTGACACTAGTGGTGATTGCTGTTTTTGTGGTATAATGCATTCCTGAAAATTGTTCTGTGAGACAGAGTCCCTTTTCACTTGATGGCATTGACGACATACCATTCATTGTCATATCCTTGATATCCTACATAATGGACATTAAATAAGTGTTTTATAAATATTCAATAACTTGTTGGGATATTTGAAGGAGTTCAGTAAAACTGCCTGTTTTCCTCACTTAGATTCTGAACAAATAGAGAAAATAAAATAGAAAGGCAAATGGGAGAGCAAAACTATACTTTTACTTGTGGTAAAGATTGGGTAGGAGGACATAACTTAGTGCAAGAGCAAAATAAACTCTAACTGAACTCCAGACTTAGATTTAACCTTCTAGTTAAATAGCATTGTGATCATATTCAGTTTATTCTTCCAAAATTTAGAAGTTGTAGAGGGCATTTCTTCTTTTCTGGGGTATAGTGAATAAAGCCCTGGAAGGAGGTCAAGTGTGTTACAGGGAGGCAGTTCGTTTCATATGAAAGGGCACATCTAGAGTTGGGGAAGAAGTGTTTCCTCACGCAAATCAGAAAAGTAAGTGGACTTAGCATAGTCTGATCCATTTTTCATTGGCAGAAATCATTAGATAGGTAAATAAAGCAAAAGTAAGATAGAAATATCTATTAGTTCAAACGATTGGAACTGAAAAAAAAATGCACATACTCTCATTCCTAATAGAAGTGTGGCCACATGAGCTATATACATCATACCTGGAATTTGCTCATGTCATACTTATTTTAGTAATCTTTCCAAAGGTTTTAGTCAGATTTTTATTTAACAAGTATAGCAGAAAAATTTCTACAGTCTTTTATTACATGAAACCTAACACTAGCCCAGGTTAGTTCCTTCCACTTCAAACTGCATACTTTGTTTAATTATTATTGTGTTAAAAACTGTTTAATATTATGTTAATGATAATTTGCATTGATTGAATGTTTATGTCCAGCACTGTGGTAATAAGCACTTTATAGGTATTGTCTATATTAGGTAGTCTTTATAACACCCTACAAAGTAGATTATTATTCTGATTATTTTGCAAAAGAGAAAACTGAGTCTAAGATCACTTAAGTAACTTGCTGAAAATCATGTAGCTAGTAAATGGCAGTGCTGGGGTACACCTCTAGTGAAACATATTCTAAATCTGTATGTTTTACTGCTTCTCACATATACTTGCATCTTGTTTTTTACCTAGATTAAAAGTGTTCTAAATCAAGAATTCTGTCTTACGTTTCTTTGAGTATCTCCTATAGCATCAAATAAATGACACTGAGTCAGCAAGTAGTTATTGAGCCACCCCTAGGGCTAGCACACAATAAATTATCTTTTTGAATTGAGAAAACTTAGTGAAACTATTAATCCTAAATATTTACTGTAAATATTTAAGAAACTCTTTACTTTGAAAATGTACCAATTTCTTTGTCTCTCTGTCTTTATTGTATTTTATGTAGAGCAATTTGGAGAAGGAAATGGCAACCCACACTAGTATTCTTGCCTGGAGAATCTCATGGACCAGAAGAGCTGGGGGTGGGGGGTGGGGGGGTGGGACTATAGTCCATGGGATTGCAAAGAGTTGGACATGACTGAACTGACTGAGCATGCATATAAAGAATTAGAAGATATATTATTTTTCCTTATGGAATACAAATTAAAAGAATATATAAACCTTTTTAACCTACCATATATGTATATGTTATTAAAACAGATACCATAATCTGCTGTTATAGTATATATATGCAAGTGTCTACCATATTTTGGAGAGGTATAAATGTTGAATGATAGTGGACCTCAAAACAGAAAGACTTTTAGATTAATGAGTACATTACACTAGATCACCAGACTAGGTCAGTCTTTTATAGACATTCACAGTGGTCTCTTTTTAAGAGTCCTCAGGTAGTAGACCTGGGCACCTCTAAAATATCCTAATCATAGTTCTTCTTGCCCTCTTAGTTTTAAATGTACACATAACAAGTGTTGTGTTCAAAGCTAAGTGCTGGCATAATGCACAAGTAGGTAGATAGTGTTTGCTTTTTTATGGAGCTTACATCCCAGTGGGGCACAAAGACTTTACAGAAGCAATTACAGTAGAATATAGTAAGTGCTATAATGGGGTAACTGCAAGCAGTACGTAGGAAGGTTCTTAAGTCAGATTGGAGATGTCATGATGACTTGTCACGGGAAATAATATTCAGACTGAGATCAGAAAGTAAAGCTACAGTTAGGGGAAGGAATAGAGAAGAAAAATGCTTTAGGCACAAGGGGACAAGAGGTACAGATGTTTCACACATGCATGTGGGTTTAGTTGTGTCCAACTCTTTTGTAACCCTCTGGACTGTAGCCTTCCAGGCTCCTCTGTCCTTGGGATTTCCCAGGCAAGAATATTGGAGTGGGTTGCCATTTCCTCCTCCAGGGGATTTTCCCGGCCCAGGGATCGAACCCACATCTCTTGCATCTCCTGTACTGGCAGTTGGATTCTTTACCACTGGTGCCACCTGGGAAGCCCACATATGTTTAGAGGTGGAAAAGAATGTTGTATATTGGAAGAACAAAAATTGTATGACTGGATGGGAGTGGGCAAAGGGCCATAGGAAAGAATGAAGCTAGATCTGTAGGCAGGCTTGTGCCTGATACTCAAGGATATGTAGACTGGATCCTAAAAGCATTTGGGTACCATTTTAGGATTTAGTAGTAACATGATCACATTTGCATTTTAGTTATTTAGCAGTGTGTGTATGTGCATGCTCAGGTGTGTCTGACTCTTTGTGACCCCTTGGACTGTAGCCTGCCAGGCTCCTCTGTCCAAGGGATTCTCAAGGCAAGAATATTGGAGTACATTGCCACTTCCTTCTCTTCCTGCCCCAGGGATTGAACCCACATCTCCTGCACTGTTGGCAGATTCTTTACCATCTGAGCCACCTGGGAAGCCCATTCAGTAATGTACTGGGTATCTAGTATGTGCCAGGTCTCATGCTAGACACTGGAAATGCAGTCACTGGTGAATAAAGAACACACTGCTCCTGACTAACAGCCAGACAGACAGTTAGGTTGAAGATAGTGTAGATGAATATGTCAGATATGCAAGCAAGTAATGTCGTCGCCTAAATCAGTGTCAGTGAGGTAGTAAAAGATGAGTGGTATTTAGAGGAATTTGGAGAGGCAGGAAGAGGGAGGAGCAAAGAGAGACACCCAGGTTTCCGTGTGGTTCCTGTCTGCTGATCCTCATCTCTGTGCATTACTAAATGTGAATCCATGAGGACAGAGATTTTAATGTGTTTTATTTTCTGCTGTATTTCTATAACCTTGAACACTTGGTAGATTCTCATTAAATATTTATAACTGAATAAATGGCTTTATTTTAGTTTTAATATGAATAATTTTGGGGTGACCACTTCTTACCTTTTTTTCTGGATAAATTTCATTGAGCTTAAATAACCCTTAAAGTAAGAAAGCGTTAGTCACTCAGTCGTGTCCGACCCTTTGTGACCCCATGGACTACAGCCCGCCAGGCTCCTCTGTCCATGGAATTCTCTAGGCAAGATTACTGGAGTGGGTTGCCATGCCCTTCTCCAGGGGATCTTCCAGAATCAGGGTTTGTACCCGGGTCTCCTGCTTTGCAGGCAGATTCTTTACCATCTGAGCCACGAGGATCTTGTCTAAATAACCCTTAAGATCATCAGTAAATGCTCTCAAGTTTCTAAATTTCCGTTCCTAAGTTTCTAAGTTTTATTAAATTTAGAAATAATTACTGTTAAAATGGAAGGATTTTAGAATTACATTTCATTATAAAACATATGTATCATTACAAGTAATATAGTGAGCAATATAAAATATATAACTTTTAAACCATCTTACATATAAGAAATACTGAGGTATCTAGAAATTACCAGTGTGTTTTTTGCTTTTTTTGTGTGTGAGTGGGGAAAGGTGATTTGTTTAGGTACATGGAATGCAAATTTTAGTAGAAAAAACAATTAGAAATAATCAGTTAGTGAAGCTGTCTAAAATTCCCCTTTAGATGTCCCTGTTTGGATTTTCTCAAGGAATTTCTTGAGAACTCAGTGCATGGTTCTTGACTGTTAGAATAGGGTTGCTTTACATGGGTACAATTTCTATCACTAATTTTAATTGGAGGTATAAGTTGTGAAACAGATTGAAACCTCTAAGGAAATGTTAAATTGTTGTGTTTTCCTATTGCCTTCTCTATGATTTTATATCACTCTGTGCCTCAGCCATTACATTTCAACCATCCTGGCTTCTTCTGATTTTTAAACATTACACATTTTCCCACCTCAGAGTTTTGTGCTTGCTGTCATTTTGCTTGGAATGTTGGTTGGCTCCTTTTCAGTCATGTCTTGATTTAAACATTAGGTTTCCTAGACACCTTCCCTGCCCTTCCAAATCATTTAGACTTTACCCTGCTCTCATTTTCTCGTGGCATTTACTACTCTTTTATGTTATTCTATTTGTTTGTTTGTTTTTTTATAAATATTGACTTTCTTCACTAGAATATTAGGTACATAAGAACAGGAGACACTGTCTTAATCTCACCATATACCTAGAATGGCTTAAATATTTGTTGAATAAATCAATCTGTTTTCTTAATAAAAACAATATATTTTGAATATAAAATGTCATGTTACACGGAAAACAGAATTTATGACATTAAATTTAAAAAATTTTATTAAATCTGTGAATTAATATAGTGTGTAGTATATTGCATGCTAAAATATGGCTATTACAAAAGAGTATTTATACTATCATTTCAATTCTGTGGAAAAGGAAATTGGGAGAAATGAGAAAAGTTGATATTTTTAACAGACTTGTTTAGGTTTCAGATTTTAAAAATTTCTGTTATATGTATATACTAAAATTAACAGTTGTGAAAATTTCATATGAGCACTTACAGAACTAAATAATTTAAAAGTTACCTCAAACTATGAATTCCACTTTAAGTTTTAATGTCATTAAATTGCTAAAAGTTACAATGCTAGTAGGATAAGAATTAAAGTTTTATTAGGTTGTTGTACCTTGTGTAAGTACATAGAACTGCTAGCAAATGTTCTGTTTCATATATCACGGACTATAGAGGTAAGTAATTTCTAGCCAAACAAACTGATTAATTATCAAGAGTAGTATATAATATTTAGCTCCCTCTTTCTGTCCTCAGGTTTCCTTTACCGAGTCATCCAGCTGCACCTCCTGAACATCTTAAAGAACCTTTGGTATACATGAGGAAAGCACAGGTTGGCTGTTGTTCATTTTAATTTTATTATTCCATACCAAGTTATATAATTCAGAATGAAAGATCCTTATTAACATTAGGACTATATTTATTATATGAAAGACTGGATAAGGACTACTAAAGTGATGCAAATAGTATTTGCATGCTCTTTACATTTGGTAACCAAAGATTACACTTACTTAATTCCTATAGTAATTCTAAAAAAAAAATACTGAGTAGAAGGGAAGAAGTACTGTACCATACTGGCCTAAGATTTAAAATATGATATAAGTATTATGCACCAATTTGTTCCTCAAGTTCTGTGATATTAAAGGAATGAATAGGGAATGAACTGACCCACTCTTCCCCTAAAATTTTGGCTTTTGACAGCAGTGTTACTGATAGTGTATTTGAAATATATTTGTTTTTGCAACAGGTAGTTACACACTAGTTGTATTCAGTTGCAGAATCCAAATGAATCCTATAATCTAAGATGAACTAAAAACAACAAAAACTAACTTTACAAGAATAAAATAAAATAATTTAAATAGAAAGACTGTAAAAAGCTATTAAAATAGAAACAATAAGCTGTCTAAGTGCCCCTAATTCTTTAGCTGGCCTTTGCCTTTGTCTAGCTTTGTCTGCCTGCCTGTGAGGCAGGACTGTTCATGAGCCTTCCTCACAGTGCCTCTGCTGAGGCTTTAATGGACATCATAAGCTGACCTTCCTTCTCCATCGTGGTCTCAGGAAATATTATGAAAAATTTGAAATACACCCTGGAGAACTCCCATGAACCCATCACCCAGCTTCAGCAGTTACACATTGGTTCTGCTGCTCCTGCGAAGTGTTCTGCTGCTTTGAGTTACTATGTTTCACTCCCTGGGTGTTAGACAGATTTTTAGTTTTCTGCTTTCATTTTAAAAACCCTTGAAATCGGATATAAACAAAAAACTGTGGAGATATTTGAGGAAATATTACTATGTAGTATATTTCTGTCCCCGGGTGGTATTGATACTTTGGTATTAATGTGCAGTATATTTCTGCCCCCGGGGCGGTATTGATACTTTGGAATTAATGTGCAGTATATTTCTGTCCCCCGGGTGGTATTGATACTTTGGAATTAATGTGTAGTATATTTCTGTCCCGGGTGGTATTAATACTTTGGTATTAATACAACCATATGGTACTTACTATTGGTGTGTCATAAAGCATAATCTTGAAATGACGCATGTATGAAAGAATTGTTTGGTCTTTTATTATAAAGGTCTGAACTCAAGAAAATAAAGCTAAATATCTAGTTCTAAGTTTTTTTTTGGCAAAATTTGAAAAATTTTGAACCTTTTAGAGAAAGTATCAGTTTTAGCATGTGTAAAAAACAGAAGTTGGTTTCCTATTAAGACTGAAGAGGTGAATAATAGGTCTATTCTTAAAGTCTACTGCTAGTTGCTGAGACTGTGTATGAATGGTAAGTGTATGTATATAGATGGTATTCCTTTCTCTTCTTTCTAGGCTTACCCACTAGATCAAGAGTTGGCATGCTACAGCCCATGGGCCAGATCTGCCCTGCTACATGATTTTTGTATTGTGGGGAAGCTAGGAATTTTTTCTTTTTTTTTTTTACATTTTCAACTGGTTGAAAAATCAAAAGAAGAATACTATCTTGTGACCCATGAAAATTATAGGAATTAATAAAATATATTTACTGGAAAATAGGCATGCTCCTTTATTTACATGTTGTCTATGGCTGCTTTTGCAATACAGTATCAGAGTGAAGTAGTTGCATTGGAGACATTATGACCTGTAAAGTGTAAAATTTTTAACCACCTACCCTTTTACAGAAAGTTTGCAAATCCCTTGATTAAATTATTCAGTACTTTAAGAGCATGAACTGTGCTTTTATCCTCAACATCTAAGCACAGTCCCTGGCTCATAGAACACTCTCAGTAAATGTTTGCCGAAATGCAGATGACTGTTGAACAACATGGGTTTGAACTACATGGATCCACTTATATGTGGATTTTTTATTCAGTGCTAAATACTACAATACTACACTATCCTGGGTTGGTTGAATCTGCAGATGTGGAACCACAGGTATGGAGAGCCAACTATCTGGTTATACTCAGGTTTTCCACTATGTTAAGGGTTGGCATCCCTAACCTCCAAAAAGTTGAGGGTCAACTGCAACTGGTCCTTCAACCATGGTCATAGTAAATACCTCCTCCACCAGTTAGTGTTTGCTTGCCTTCCCATTTGTTCTTCTCTAGTTGCCTAGTTCTTTACCTTCCTGATCTGTCAGGCAATTCTCTTCTTTGTGTGAAAGCTACCTAGTCTGGATTGAATGACAGCTGTTCTATCATGTTCTCTCTTCCACCTCATACCTTTTACCCTATCAGATTTCTACTCTGACTGGCATTTTAGTCCTCAGCCTAAGGCTGCCTCTACTGTCTGCTATCTCTCTTCCCCTAAACTGTTGAGTACTTAGGGAAGAAATCACATAAGTTCTATGTTTACCATTAGTTTACTCTAAATCCATTTATTTATCTTTCAGTGGGTTCATTTTGCTGCGTCTCAATCCTTTTATTATTATCTGCTTTTGATGGTCAATACCAAAATCAGATTGATTATATTCTTTGCAGCCAAAGATGGAGAAGCTCTATGCAATCAGCAAAAACAAGACCAGGAGCTGCTTGTGGTTCAGATCATGAACTCCTTATTGCAAAATTCAGACTTAAATTGAACAAAGTAGGGAAAACTGCTAGACCACTCAGATTTGGCCTTTATCAAATTGCTTACAGTTATACAGTGGAAGTGACAAACAGACTCAAGGGATTAGATCTGATAGACAGAATGCCTGAAGAACTATGGATGGAGGTTCATGACATTATACAGGAGGCAGTGATAAGACCATTCACAAGAAAAGAAATGCAAAAAGGCAAAATGGTTGTCTGAGGAGGCCTTACAATTAGCTGAGAAAAGAAGAGAAGCTGAGGGCAAGAGAGAAAAGGAAAAGATACACCCATTTGAATGCAGATTTCCAGAGAATGGCAAGGAGAGATAAGAAGGTCTTCCTCAGTGATCAATGCAAAGAAATAGAGGAAAACAATAGAATGGGAAAAACTAGAGATCTCAACAAGAAAATTAGAGACACCAAGGGAACATTTCATGCCAAGAAGGGCACAATAAGGGACAGAAATGGTATCGACCTAACAAAAGCAGAAGATATTAAGAAGAGGTGGTAAGAATACACAGAAGAATAGACAAAAAAGATCTTCATGATCCGGATAACCACGATGGTGTGATCACTCACCTAGAGCCAGACGTCCTGGAATGTGATGTCAAGTGGACCTTAGGAAGCATTACTATGAACAAAGCTAGTGGATGTGATGGAATTCCAGTTGAGCTATTTCAAATCCTAAAAGATGATGCTGTGAAAGTGCTGCACTCAATATGCCAGCAAATCTAGAAAACTCAGCAGTGGCCACAGGACTGGAAAAGGTCTGTTTTCATTCCAGTCCCAAAGAAGGGCAATGCCAAGGAATGCTCAAACTACTGCACAGTTGTACTCATCCCACACACTAGCAAAGTAATGCTCAAAATTCTCCTAGCCAGGCTTCAACAGTACAGGAACATGAACTTCCAGATGTTCAAGCTGGATTTAGAAAAGGCAGAGGAGCCAGAGATCAAATTGCCAACATCTGCTGGATCATAGAAAAAGCAAGAGCTCCAGAAAAAACATCTACTTTTGCTTTATTGACTATGCCAAAGCCTTTGACTGTGTGGGTCACAATAAACTGTGGAAAAGTCTGAAAGATGGGAATACCAGACCACCTGACCTGCCTCCTGAGAAATCTGTATGCAGGTCAGGAAGCAACAGTTAGAACTGGACGTGGAACAACAGACTGGTTCCAAATGGAGAAAAGAGTATGTCAAGGCTGTATATTGTCACGCTGCTTTTTTAAACTTATATGCAGAGTACATCATGTGAAATGCCGGGCTGGATGAAGCACAAGCTGAAATCAAGGTTGCTGAGAGAAATATCAGTAACCTCCAATATGCAGATGACACCACCTTATGGCAGAAAGCGAAGGAGAGCTAAAGAGCCTCTTGAAAGTGAAAGAGGCGAGTGAAAAAGTTGGCTTAAAACTCACCATTCAGAAAACATGATATTGGTCCCATCACTTCATGGCAAATAGAGGGAAACTGGGTATCAGATCCTTGGGAATTCTCCTTAGTATCTTCCCAATTTTCCTATACATCTAAAACTCTTGTAAAAAGTCAAGTCTACTAAAAAAAAAAACAGTGGAGACTTTATTTTTGGAAACAGTGAGACTTTATTTTAGGGGACTATGTTTTGGGGTTGCCATTTCTTTCCCCAGGATTTACCCTTCTAATACTTCTCACTGCCTTCTAGAAAACCTTCAGTGACTGCCAGTTGCCTAATAAATGATGTTCCTACTCCAAAGCCCACCACTGAAGGGTTTTTACTGTCTGTCCCCAGCAGAGACTATTCCACTCCATCAGTCTCTGCTGTCTTATAACTGCCCTTGTGCCCATCCAGGTGAAGTGTTTTGCCTTTCCTATTGCATCTTTAACACTTTTTTGTTTTGCTGTCATGGAAAGCCCTCTGCCTGTTGTGTATTATGTAAATCCCATTTATTTTGTGTCAGCTTAGATGGCATCTCTTCTCTGCGGTTGTTATTACCCCTGTTGAAAGGCTTTCTCCCTCTTTGAACTCTGGTAGCATACTATCCGTGGAGGAGGGCCTGACAGTCCAGACCTTTATGTAGCAGAGCCTCAGCAAGTTTATAGTGAATCAGTAAGAAAAGGCCTTTCCCATCGTTTCTTACAGTATTTATTTAACAGATGTTTACTGAATGCCTGTGAGTAGAAGACACTCTGCTGTGTGCTGTGGAGATTCAGAAATAAATTAGATTGAGATTCTGCCTTCAGGACACTACATGAGTTGATAATTGAAATAAGACTTGTACACATGTATCTGTAACACAAGGTAGAAAGTGCTGC